AATATTTGTTAATAAAATCTGTCAATTTATACACTCGCCTACCGATAGCCATTAGTCTCTTATCAAAAGAATTGTCAAGTACCTACAAGGAACGACATCTTATGGTTTGCACATCACTCGAGGCTCTTCTCTTTCCTTACATGGTTTTAAATATATTGATTGGGCTTTCTTATGGTTTGCACATCACTCGAGGCTCTTCTCTTTTCTTACATGGTTTTAAAGATATTGATTGGGCTAGTAGTCTTGATAACAGAAAATCTACAGATGACTACTTGGTATATCTCAGCCAAACACCTATTTCTTAGAAGTCTGGAAAATAATGCATAGTGGTTCGTTCATTAACTGAAGCAGAATATAAGGCTCTTACAAATGGTAGTATAGTGATTTTATGGATTCAGACTCTGTTGTCAAGTCTTCATTTTTCCTCTGATCCTATGACTATCCTTTAGTGTGATAATTTGGATGCTACCTACTTGTCTGTTAATCCTATCTTTCATACTCGCATTAAGCATGTTAAAGTTGATTATCACTTCGTTCGTGATCAAGTTGCTAGTAAAGCTGTCGACACGCCTGCTTCATCCTTGTCTAAGCTATTACTGACCTTGGATTCTTAGTATTTTAATCCTACCAGTTACCAGCATATTGTTAGTGCTTCGCAATATCTCACTTTTACTCGCTCGAATATTTGTTATGTTGTTAATAAAATCTGTCAATTTATACACTCGCCTACTGATGGCCATTAGTCTCTTATCAAAAGAATTGTCAAGTACCTACAAGGAACGACATCTTATGGTTTGCACATCACTCGAGGTTCTTCTCTTTCCTTGCATGGTTTTAGAGATGTTGATTGGACTAGTAGTCTTGATAATAGAAAATCCACAGGTGACTACTTGGTATATCTCAGCTGAACACCTATTTCTTAAAAGTCTGGAAAACAATGCATAGTGGCTCGTTCATCGACTGAAGCAGAATATAAGGCTCTTACAAATGGTATTATAGTGATTTTATGGATTCGGACTCTGTTGTCAAGTCTTCATTTTTCCTTTGATCCTATGACTATACTTTAGTGTGATAATTTAGATTCTACCTACTTGTTTGTTAATCCTATCTTTCATGCTCACACTAAGCATATTAAAGTTGATTATCGCTTTGTTCGTGATCAAGTTGCTAAAATGAAAATTGTGGTTTGGTTCATCTCCTCCTAGGATCAACTTGCTGATGTTGTTACCAAATGTCTTCTCATCTATCCTTCATTTATTTTCTATCCAAACTTCTTATGGATTCTCTTGGTCCTTTAGCTCAAGGAGACATATTATGAAATGTTTATTATATATATTTATATTTATCTTGTATTTACCTTATATAGGTTCTTGATAATGTGTAACATGGTTAGTATTATATACAACCCTACTATATATATATTACATGAGTTGAGTGCTGCATACATATACATTACAGCTCCAGAATATATTCTAAAACTCCTCCCTTAACTTCAACTCTGCTGAACAGAAGATATTAATTTGCCAAATTTATTGGTTGTAATATCATTTACTTTTCCTTCCAATGCAAGTAACCGATCTAGCCTAATATTTAATACATCAGCATTATTTAATATAATTATTGGGACCATTGTTTAGCTGCGATATCAGTACCTGTGATGATTTCGAACTTTATTTCAGTCATGAGTTTACTTTCTTCTTCTTTTTTTCAGGTCTTAAAAAGTTTTGAGATGCTCTAACGCTAATACCATAAAAACAAGTGTAATTTTAGATTTAATTGTTGAATTAAACTAAAATTTTATCAAATTAATTATTCTAATTACTTATTTATTTTGGGGCAACTAGCTTGCCATTTGTTTTCCTTTACATGCATAGATTACGTCTGAAGCTACAATTTCAAAATCATCTTTATTTTCCTTGTTTTCGGATTTTTTTTTCTTATTTATATTACAATTTTCAATTTAATTAATATTCTACTAATTAGAATGCTTTCCTTATATTTAAATAGCCTTGGAGGCTACTTCTTAGAAGAGAATTAATGAAAAAAAAGTTTTATGAATATATCAAAGTTCTCTTTATAATATTCTTCTCTATAATTAAGGGTTGTTATCTTAAACTTGAGTACTTCATGTAAAATAATATTTGACCTGAATTTTCAACACCTTCTGTATATAATGTTACCTTAAACTTGAATACGTTAATCACGTGAAAATGTAAATAATGTTAGACCTTTTGTTAAACATGGTTGCTGATGTTGTTGCTTGGAAAACATTTTGAACTGCAAAATATCGACCACATATTTTGTTGATATTTTCCAATGCCAACAGAATACTGTCCTTGAAAATTTGTCTGTCAATTATGTTGAAAATTTCTATATTTATTTTCCAATGCCACGTTAATTATGTGGAATGCATGCTGTGAGATTTTCCAATGCCATATATCTAACCATGGTTTTCAATTCTGTGGGCAATGAAATGAATATTCCATTAGCAACGTAAACAAACTGAAAACAAAAAAGGGTTAATAATAACCAAAATAGAAATTGATAAATTAAAAGATGTAAATAAACTCTCATCTGACTTAACTTGTTTATTTACATCTTATAAAATAAAACTTTTGTTTGATTGTGTTTATTTAATTTGTTTATTAATTAAAATTAATAAAATATAAATTTACAATCTAGAAAACTTATGACTTAAAAGATAAATATGAATGAAATTGATAAATAAACTCATGCCTAAAAACAAAATCATGCAAGGCCAAATATATCAGTGATATTATTTAAAAATAAATATTTTTATTTTTAAAAATAAACTCTATTTGTATAAAACACAAAAAAAAAATTCTAAATGAATTAGTATAAAACCTTGAAAAAAACACATTTTAAAATAATATTAAAAAAATACAAAGAGATAAGATCATATGAAACAGAACCTCTAACAAATCAAATGTTGAATGAAATTAATAAAAACAAATTAATTACACAAAAAGATCTAAAAAATAAGAGTGAAAAAAATATTAATTAAAAGGCAACAAGAAATTTGATTTGATATGACTTTTGTAGTGAGCCATAATTTTTCTTTCTTAAAAATAGTTTGAGTGTATAGACTATTTTGATATGTTTTTTTCTTAATATAAATCATAAGTGTAAATCAAAAAGTTTATCCAAAAATCTAATAATCATCTCTATAAATAAATAAATAATTGTTAATAATAAAAAATAAAAGAGAAATTGAGAAAAATAAAAAATAGATATAGATCAAGATATTTGATCTCGTAAAATGACCAATTTGAAAACTTATTTTGAGTTCATGAGTAGAAGATATAACTTTTTGATCAAAATGAATATCATAAAGATTTTGAAAATCTCATTTATGATGAAACAAATGTGAAATAGTATTCTATATCAATTTATAATGTTTATTTTGAAGTAATTATGTTGACAATGATAACATAAATAATAGTAGTAATTACAAAGATGATAGTATTAATGGTGTCCTTGTTGATAAGTTAGAGATTCAATGCAAATAAAATATGGAGGGAGTATAGTAAAATAAAATTATTGATTTAAACTATTTTGATTCTTTAATTACAAGTTCATTGCTATCACAAAAATAAATGTGTTCAAGGGTTAATATGAAATAGAATTGATGAAGTTTGAGTTTTGGAACTTTTTACTCTGTAAGCAAATGAAAGAGGAACAATTTTTTTAATGGTTGTTTCTTATACAAATTTTAAGATTAAAAAACTAAAATTAATGTCTAAAATTGTTATAAAGCTAAAGAAAAAAAAAGGGCTTGTAGAGTCTTGAATGGATATCTACAAAGATCAAGATAAGAGTAATTTAAACTTGACAAACTTGAGAATGAGTTCTCTTTTATTCCGGGAGATTAATTTTAAGGATTTTTTTTAATATGTAATTTTATGTTTAAGGTCATAAATTTTGATCCAAACTTTCAATAAGACTGAAATTTAGTTAGGAGGTTTTAGAGATCTTATTGCCTCCAAGATTAAAATTTCATAAAATAAGACTAGAATGTATGGTTCATGATTTTCTATATTTTCAAAGTTAATTTAGAAATTTTTTTTATTTGATTTAGAACTCTTGTATTAGTTTTTCATTTTTGTTTAGTACTTTTTTTCTAATATATAAACAGCCTAGAAGAGTAGTAATATGGACTTTTGATTAGAATATTTGTGTGATGAAATGTTCAGCAGTAAAATTTTGAATTTGGGTTATTGGTGTGACCTTATTCAATAGAATTTTGCATTGCTTGTTCTTCCTGTCTTTTTATTTTCATCTACGTAAATTTGTCAACATTAGCTATTAGAATACGAAGCTTCATTGCGTACTGAGATAAGACTAGTTAATCTACCACAAGATGGTCGCAGCAACATTACAAGTTCCCTTGTTGAAGATAGGGACATCATTTGCATCCCTCTTCATTATATTTCAGTATGTCAATCTCCAACTAAGCGTTAGGCACAACATATGGCTTGACAAACCGACACTAGGTGATCATGTGACCTCAAAGGTGTGAATCCACGACTGTATCTCATCTTCCTGCTTGAAAATCACAAGTCTGATCTTTCCAAGAAGCGTATGGTTATGAGAGAACAATGAAGCAGCATTATTCAGTCCTCGTTTGAATTTAAAGGTTAACTAAATTGGCACAGAATAACCACTTGAAAGAGGAAAACCTTTTCTAGTATTGAAGAGATCAAGCATATGTCTTATTCATCATAATATTCAAGGCCTGATGATGAAAATAGCTACAAAGAGCAGAAACCCTAAGTATCCTTTCAGTTTATAATAGGAGATGCCAGTCTTAGAACATGTCCTGCTGCTGTTCCAGTATTTTCTACCATTCAGATTTTTCTCTCTAGCCTTCTGAAAATATCAAGATTTTTTTCTGTTTTTTTTTTTTGTTGTTGATGAATTAGTTCAATTTTTTTTGTTCAAATCAGTACTTCCACGCAGCCCACTTGTAAGTAATTCACTTATATCATCCAAAGAGCAGAAATCAAGCTGTCACATTCAGTAATAGGACCAAGAACATTATGCATATGATGCTCGATAATTGGGGAATAGAAACCATGACTTCTCGTGTACAACTGTCAAGGAAAACAGCATTCAAGCAAATCTATCGAACATATGTTTTAATGCTTTGCCAAATGCCAACAGCTTAAAGCTTCTGTTTGTCGGTTGACAAACATTGCATTCATCAGTATCCTAAGCATTCATCGAAAAAATAGAAATTACTTCCAATTACTCATACAGAAAAAACTGAAGTGATTGCATTTTTTATTTCATTTTAGAAGTTTCGAAGTACCTTCAGTATGCCATACTTGTATTTACAGTTTGATCAGAAGTACATGCGAAAAAAATAATTTTAAGAAAATATGAACTATACTATGCGATTCTTGAAAGAGCTTTCAAAACGTGATTCATGGTGGCGTAGATGATGAGGATCCTCCTCCATGCAACCCTTAGCCAGGAATGCCAAGCACATAGCATCACCCAATGAATAATCTCCTCCCAAAACAGGATCCATGAATTCCTTCAACTTTTCCAAGCAATGAGAAGAATCTTCAAACGCTCCATCAAATAAAAAACGGACTGAATCCTTCAAGATTTTCCCATCCCTAGACAAATCTTTTCCTGACATAAACTCAAAGCAAAACAACTCCAAATGCAAATACGTCAACCTGTAGAGAGGCCTGACCATTAGTAAGGTATTCAGGTGTCCAATGGGCCTCTCTGCCTGGAGTTATATGTTTATTCCAGACAATGTCTTCCTTTTCTTCGTCAGAAATGACAGGTTTTGCAAGTCTAAACCCAGCGATCTTGGCTCTCCAATTGGCAGTTATAAGCATATTTCTAGCGTTTATATTTTGATGAACAAAGGCTTGTGCTGTGCAGAAGTGTAAGTAGTGAAGGGCACCTGCTACATCAAAAGCAATCTGCATCCTTCTTAACCATGTAACCTGCCTATCCAATTTCTTATTTGACAAGCAGTCCCTTAAGCAGCCATTCTCAGCGAATTCGTATACAAGATAAGGATTAGAACCATTGCATATTCCTTCAAGTTTTACAATGTTTAGATGATTGATCTTTGTCAAAATGTAAATGACACGGCGAGCACCTTCTCTGACTCCATTTGTTCAATTGCTAGATAGTAACCTCCAATTCTACCTCCATACACTTCCACACCGATCTTAGAAGCCTCATTGAAATCTTCTGTCGCAATCCTTAGCTCCTCCAAGCTGAAATTAATCAGTGATTGCTTTAACTTGGACATTCCATCAAGAAAATCAGGTGAGACATTCGATGACACTGAACTTCTAGGAGTAAAAGGTTGGAACCTCCTAGGATGATACCTTCTTCGAATGCATATAAGAAACCCACAAGCTACCATCGTCATAACAACTGCCACAGAAACACCTACGCCAAGAAATACATGTAAATTCCATTTTGTTGATTTGGTACCAGGTACAACTTTTTCCAGGGGAATCAGTGCTCTAGGAGCAGGTGAGCTTCCTGGAAGAGAACCAGCATGCCACCTCACTTCCGGGACATCCTTTGCGGGAACAAGCAAAGTTGTTAGAGGAAAAATTGCTTCATATTGTCTTAGATTATTTGCATCCCTGATGTCTTTTTCGGGTAATCCAAATTTACTAGCGATGCCTTCCATGATATCCTTCTCCAAAATGGGGTATGTCACAAGATATTTCACTCCGTTTCTTCTCTGAGGCGAACCAGGACAAGCGCATCGAATTGGTACATTGATCAGAGAACCAACAGGGACATCATGGCCATCGAAATCTGCATTCTCCTCAATCAGACTTTGCACTTTCACCAAACCTTCAAAAACTTTGCAGGAAACAGATGCAAAAGAATCTTGTTTGGACATATTATACATGAAAATAAACTTAGAGAACCCCCCAAGGCAATGGCATGTAATGGGGATGATGATATCTTGCCCAAGCGGGAGACTCCAGTTAGAATCATCTTCAGCCATTTTGTTGAAAAAGAGAAGAATGGATTGATTTAAATTGAATAGAGAAGATATTAAAGAGATTGTGTCGAAATTCTCTTGAGCTCTATAGACTATATAAGCACCACAGTCTGAAATTCTTGGGCCGCAAAGGTAGTTTGATCCTTGAACTTGTGAAGGGGAGTTGCAGTTGGAGCTATCATAGGATTGTTGAGAAAAGGTGGGCTTGACAAGAAAGATAATAATGCAAGAAAAGATGAATTTGGAAAGGGAAATCATGATAGACGTAAGCTTGTGAAGTGAAGCTGGTTCTTGGAGGAGAAATGGAGGGAATGAAAGTAGATGTTCGAAGTACGTAGTCCAAAAAAAAAAAAGGATCAATAACATGGCCGCCTGGCCGGCCTTACAACATGAAGTCTTCAGCTTAATTTCTAGCATATGTACTTATGCATTAGTCTCACCATACAGCACCCCTACTCTCCAGATCTTTAATTTTTTTTATTTTTATTTTTTTGTTACGATTGAATTTTCTGTATTTTGTGTTTCAGAAACAATTTAAGCACGAATATCTAAGTCTGTTTAAAAAAAATGAAGATATGGCCTATGGTTAGAAAATAGTCAAGAAAAGAATCAAATTTCATTTTTATAAATGCATTAGTTTACGTTTGTACATTACACTAATACTAATGTTTAAAAATGTGATAATGGTTTTTTAAGGTTTTTTTTATTTAAAAAAAATCACATCAACACATTAATGATCTAAAATAATTAAAAATTAATGAAAAATTAAAAATTTTCAAAAATAATTTCTAAACATAAAAACAAACACAATCAAAAACCAAACCTCAAAGCAATTTAGTCTAGCGAAAACTGTTCTAGAGATTAATACCAAGGAAATATGAATCAAATTAACTCGGGATCCCTCCCTGCATGCTTCTTTTTTAATCAGATGCCTTCATAGTAATGTCCTTCCGTCCAGTGCTGTTCTTTACTTAAATCTCATGGTGGTCGAATAACACAGTATATAACAAAAACTATATGTTTCTTGTCTATACTTAAAAATACTCAAAAAGAAAAGGTTGATATAATTTAATGGATTTGATTTATAATTTATACGATTTGACTTTGTTAACTTATTTATTATATGAATTTAATATATCTGATATATAATTTAATTATATAATCTGAATTCAATTACGATTTGAGTTCGTTAACTTGTTTATTAAATGGATTCAATATAAATCTATCTCATTATGCTGTGATAATATTAATATTATTTTTAATAAATATAATATTCTTAAAATAAAAATAAATATATGTATAACTTTCAGTTGAAACTTCTTAAAAAACAGTAACGAAACCACAAATCAGTTGGCTAAGAGCTCCTTTGTCAACACACCTATCATCGAGATCTTCTCTATCCTCACGATAATCCCAGAAAATATTCATCCAAAAAAGATTCCATCATCACCAGCGACTCATTTTTTATGGTAAGTTTACAAAATGACCCTCCCAAAATAAAAACTACACATTTTGTCCCTCCCAGTGCTCCAACTTTGGACTCATCCCTGCCTAACATGACGTACCCACATTTGATCTACTATGTTTTACTTGAGCAAACCTCAATTTAACCCACAACATATTATCTCATTATTAATTAAGTTCTAAATCTTTTGATTTTATCAATTTTGGCCCAAACATAATAAGCACTAGACAATATTACCCCTCAATCCATCGAAATAGCTTACTATTTTTCTCCAGTTTGCCCTTTCTCTTTAAGTTCTTACAATAAACTCCAAGTTACCATAACGAATAATTCTGAAATTGATATTGAAATAAAACGTCTTTGACTTGTTTAAGGTTTCCTTTTTTGCTTTTGCCTCTATGATTCGTGCATGACAATATCTGATTAGTCTATGGTTAATTATTATGATTCTATATAATAAAGTAATAATCAACTATAGGAGATCTTGTGGAGGGCCATGGCCGATAAAAAGCAACAAGGTATTGCATGTCGCTTTCCGTTCATCTCCCACAACAAGATTGAAAACTTTATGGTATCCCTTTTGTTTTCCCTATTCTCAACGCTTCTTGTTCTTGGACCCTTTCCTTTGATTTCGCAGTATGCTATTGATCAAAGGCAGGAAAAAAAAAAAAAAAAGGCAGAGAACTTGCACATCTCAACTTTAAATTCCACCCACCCAATGATACGACTTTTATGGTCAATCCAATGAATCAAGGCACATATAGTGTAAACTCTATGTGTGTTCGTGGAGGTTCATGAGCCTTTCATTCCATGGCATGAACTTGTGTATGGGAGTTTTACATGTTGATAATGTCATTTGAATCCAAAACGTCTAAATCATTGGGGCATGGTTCCTTTTTTTTCTATTTATAGCTTTTCACTTTCACACACACCTTTGCTCTCTTTATAATCTCAGATTCGAGTCCTTAGTTGCTCATATAATGGTCATTGGAGACTTACATGGTTGTTAACTTCAGGGCCCGTGGGATTAGTCGTGGTGCGCGCAAGCTAACCCGGACACCTACATTAATCTAAAAAAAATACAGACTTCAAGATTCATTTTGCTTCTTGCACCAATAAAGTTACATCCAAGAACACAGTCAAGATTAGATCCAATAAAGTTACATGCAAGAACAATTACACATAGTCAAGATTAGATCCTATACGGGATTGAACTGGTGTAATATAATTGACTTAATAAATATAAAAATAATTTAGATAATTGATAAAAAAAATAATTTAATTATAAAAATAAAAAATAACATATTTTTAAATATTAAAATGACAATAATTTAGATTAATTTGGGTTAATTTGTCAAATCCATTATTCAAGTCATAAGAACCTAATAACCCTATAGAAAGCAAATCCAAAAACTTATTAAACTTAATTCTCAATCACTCCAATATTTAAGAAAAAAATTGAAAACAAAATCCAAATTAAAAGAAAGCCAAGTCAATCCAAGTTATCATATTAAACTTGAGTTATAAAACCGAGATATCCCTATATAAAACAAATTGAAACAAATTATGAAACTCAATTCTCAATCAACTCAATATTAATGATAAAATTTTAAAAAATCATTTTAAAAGAAACTTTAGTCAACAAACCAAACTTGTGATCCTAGTTATAAGATCGAGATAATCTCAAAGAATAAAACTTGAATCAAATTATGACATTTAATTCTCAATCAACCTAATATTCAAGAATTAAATTAAAAAAATCAGAAAAAAAGACAAAAAATAGAGTTAATCAACCTAACTCGCGATCTAAGTTATAAGATTATGATAAATCTAAATAAAATAAATAAGAACCATGAAGCCCAATCTTAATCAACGCAATGTCGAAGGATTAAATTAAAAAAATAATTAAAAAATAACTCAGGTTAACATAACTAACCCGCAAAACATATAACCCACATCATAAGACCGAGATAGATTCATAAATATAAAATCAAAATAAATAATGAAGTTCAATATCCAGTAAATTTAATATTGAATAATGAAATTAGAAAATAACAACTAAGTTTGGATTTAAGAAAAAAAAATCCTTAAAAATCTTAAGAATCAAAGTGAAAAAAGCCTTGACATTTCGATGCCTACTACTACAATAAAATGCTAAAACCTTTTAGTATATGTCAATCAAGTAAAACCTTAATTTAATACATAAATGTGTTTGCAAAAGCCACCAATATAACTAAATTCACAATTTAAAAGTTATAATTATTATTATTTTTTTGCAATTAAACATTAGGTCAAGTAAGCAAGCAATTATAATAAATTAATATTAAAATTTTTACATGGAAAACCTTAATTTGAAAAAAAAAAAAGGACTATAATCCATTTAAGAACTTCCATTATTATTATTATTATTATTAATACGTAAACAAGTGTTTATTATTATTATTATTATTATTATGTAAACAAGTGTTTTTTCTTAATTAAAATTAAAGGTTGGAACATAAATCATAAAAAATACAACATATTTTTAAAATACATTAATATTAACAAAAAAAGTTGAATTTTTTTTCACAAAACTAGAAGTCATGCTTTGTGATTAACAAACCAACTTACACACCTTTAATATCCAACCCAACCTTACATAATGAAAATTGATGTGTTTGGAATCTATTATTCAAATTTCGCTCGATTCAATAGTGAAATGGTTGCTTATCAAAGTTCAAATAGAGATTCTTTAAGATGCCATCTTCTTTTTCTCTTTTTTTTTTTTTGGGTTTTTATACGTGTGACGATAAACTTAAAAATAAAAATAAGTCAAAAAAATTTTTAACTATCTTTTTTGTAATTTTTAATTTTCCCATTTTTTATCATTTTTAAAATCAAAATTAATTTTTTATTATTTTTTCCTTTAATATATTTTAAATTTGAAATTCAAGAACGCATAAAGGTTTCGATATCTTCGAAGTAAATAATAATAATAATAATAATAACATAGTAAAATCAACATAAATTAGGTAAGGGTTGATTCTTATAAAGAATAGGTGCCGGCTACCAACCGTGGAATGGTCAAATAAAAAAAAAAGGCAATGAGTATTTTTTTATTAGCCAGATATCTTGTAAAAACTGATAGGTACACAGGGTATATTAAAAAATATGATAAAAATTATTTTTTAAAGTATATTTTTATTCAAAAATATATGAAAAAATTAATTTTTAATATTAATATATTAAAACAATTTAAAATGCTAAAAAAATAATTTAAAACAAGAAAAAAATAAAAAATATGATTGTACCGTTACGACAAACGAGCCTTTAATATCTATTTTCCCAGTCAAGGTCTACTAGATATGCTATATTATATTATTTACTCGATAGACGATTTTATTTGATTAAAATTGTGGGAAGTAGTGGAAGTTTCTTCGTAGACTGGTCAAGATGGATGGTGCCTTCGCCTCTTTAAGAAGGCATTACTGAAAATTGATTGGTTTTGGTTGGATTATAAGAGGATGTTTGTCATAATTTCTGTTGTTTCTATTTTTAT